CAGGAATGCATATATACCCTTAAAATAAGAGCCCACACATGCATTAAAATCTTCTTTGGCACTGACAGGCATAGGTCCAGTGTAACAGCACAATCCGCCCATACTACAAACATGCACTTTTCTTTCTGTACATGCTCTTACTGTTGCCCTACTGAGCATGTGCACAGTGTGTGCACATGCCCATTAAATGAGTGAAGCCCCAGTGAAGCTGCTGCCCTTACCCTGCCCTTTGCGCTAAGTGCCAGCAGCGGCCTCCTCTCTGCAGAGCCCAGGACTGTTCGGCAGGTCGGCAGCAGCAAGGAAGGAACTGGCAAGGGAGGGGAGAGAGTAAGAAAGCTGACTACACTGAGCAATGTTGGCAAAAGAAGGGTGGAGTATGGTGGCGAACAAGAGAAGACACACAGGGCAAAAGATGTGAAATTGAAGTGTAATATAGAAGACAGAAAGCCAGCAGAAAAAGTTCACATCATCATCATCATTTTAGCTAGTTACTTCCTAAGACATGGTCAGCTACTTTTCCTATTATAAAAAGCAGATTTGGTTTTTCTCTCCTTAACTGTAAGATCTGGGGAACATTTCATAGGTTTCAACAAACAATAGAAGCTATAGGCACTAGGAGAACTAAAATAAGAACTACAAAAATATAAATAGAAAACAAATATAAATATAAATTATATAAAATTAATAAAATTAATGAAATACAGAAAAAATCCATATTTTTAAGACAGTGCACTGCAGTCAGAATTTGCTTGTAGACAGCATGAAAGAGGAAAAACCAAGTGTAAGAGGATTTTTTATTTTTTGCACTTCATCTTTAAGGCTCCAATCCAACAAAGATTTATGAACACACTTGATGGCCAGTACCATGGGACTTCTCATGCCCATTAAGTTAAATAACTACACAAGGTAATCAAAAGGAAGATGTGGGCTGAATCAGGAGAAACTTCCTCAGGGTGACACAAGTAGTAGAGCAATATCCTTTGAAGGAAAAGGATGTCACCCCATTGCCTTTCAAAATAAACAGGATAAATCACTTTTAAGACTATCCATTAGGTCATAAACACATTGTTCAAGAGACCAGGATTTTTTGGTGATACCTTTTATTGGACCAACTGTATGGTTGGGAGAGCACCTGTTACTACCAAATCTATATGATAGGCTGGGACTGTCCTCTCATTTGACCAGAATAAGTCCAGTGAATTCACAGGAAGTTACACCTCCCCCCCGCCCCGTTGTTTGTTTTTTTTTCCTTAAGAGCAGTGAAGAATCCGGACTATAATACAGTAACACACTAGTCAAAAGAGTATATCAGGCCCTTAAAATCAACAGGAGTGGCTAGGAGAGTTTAAATAGTTTTAATTAAAAAGAAATGGTTCTTAAAGTGTGCAACAAGAAGAGCACACACCAAATGCAGATGCTTCCTCAGCCTGATGAAGGGTATTATACCCAAAAGCTTGCAAAGAAAAAAATGTCCAACTATTTCAATTGGTCTAATAAAAAATATCAGATTTACCCAAAGAACCTTGTCTGCCTATGTCCTTAGACCAACACAACTAGAACTATAGCACTGTGACAGATGTAGAGGGCCTTTACAAAGTGCTTACCTACAGAAAAGAAAGCCGATGCTTAGGGGAAAGTTACTTAATACCACTCACAATTTTCAGGCGCAGAGTTGCTTGCCAGCATACATATTATCCACTAATACTTATCAGTATATATTCTCTTACTACAAAAATATCCTCAAAGAAAAGATCCCATGCCTCACCTCCCTTAAAAAGAATCAACACCTGATATCACTGTAGCAAACACCTACCATTCATTCTCAGGGATAAGAGAAAATGAAAAATCTTATGGCATTTTCTTGCCCTGTTCCAGTCAAAAAAGTCCTAGGGATGCCCCATAAACAAATTAAAAACAACTAGCCTTAATACACAGTTGCTCCCCTTTTCCAATACTTCAAAGGAGAAAGTTCACCGGACAAGGGACTCTCAGTGCAAGTGTCAAAGTGCACAGAGTTTAGAAAAATGGAGCTTATCCCAAGTCATAGTTACATTCAAGTTTGAGAAAGTAAGAAAATCAAAACAGGAAGCTAATATAAGGGCATGGGAAGCAGCTTCAGGGGAAACTGATTTATGAGAAAGGAAAGCATGTAGACCTATGCTGAAGCTCTTATTGTATTCTGGTCAACTGATCTTTGGACCTTATTCATATCTAAACCAACTCGGAGCAGACAGATGTGCAAAAACAGATATCATAGAAAAAAGGGGCAGCAAGCACAGGACTGGGTCAGAAGTGATCTTATACCAGGTAGTTATTCTCCCTGGCCTTGGGAGAATGGGGCCCCACACGCTGATAGATATGAAAGCTTGCAATTACAGGCTCACACAGACACGCACACAATTAGTCTGCAAGGTACGAATCTACCCGGCCTTCTACTTGACTTCAGACCAGGGGTGGGCAAAATGTGGCCTGTGGGCTGGACACGGCCCGCAAGCCATTCTACCTGGCCTGCAGGGCCCCTAAAAAATTTAGAAAAAAAATCAATACTTATCTGCCCCTGGCTGCCTGTCATGCAACCCTCGATGGCTTGTCAAAACTCAGTAAGCGGCTCTCTGCCCAAAATAATTACCCACCCCTGCTTCAGACTAACGCCACGACCTACCTCTCCCAGTGCCCGTGACAGCATAGTAATACCTCTCATCTTCTCCTACCAATGACCCTACAACACCATTTGGTAGCCAAGAAGCCCTGGGCCAAGCTACCTTGTTCCTTACTCGCCCTGCTGAAGCTGCCAGAAGAAGCAGCTGATTCCTGCCATGCAGCACGGGATGCTTCTGACAGGGAGGGAGGGAGGGAGGGAGGGAGGGAGTCCCAAATCACCAGCCGCTTTGGCGCATCCGTGGCTACCTAGGGAAGAGGCTCTGGAAAACACGGCAGGCAGAGCCCACCCCAGGAGCTAGGAGAAGCCCCGGTGCAGTCTGTGTGTGTCAGAGTTGTGTGTACAGCCTTACACAGGGTTCAGATTATGGTTGTACAGGGCGGTTCAGACAGCGATGACTGCCTCAAGCAGGGGCTAGAGTAGAGACCTCTTGAGGTGCGCTCCCGCCTGGCTTCTCCATGTCTACATGTTCACGAATGCACCTTAGATACTGCAGTTTCCTTTAGTACTACCTGTAAACGCGGTACCTAGAGTGACGCTGACTGCGCACCAGCCGAACAGCACTACGCAGCAGGAGGTTAGCACGGTTTGTGCTGTGACCCGCAGTGTTATCAGGCTAATGCGCAGTTGGCACCACGTGTAGACGTGCCCTCCCCGCTGCTGCCACAGCCGGGTGCCCGGGGGGCGGGTCCGGCCCCGGGTACCCCCGTGCGGCCGCCACCCGCGCTGCCCTCGAGCCTGCGCCCCACCCCCTGGCTCCGGGCTAGCGGCTCCGGCACATCCCCCGCCAGCGGCGGCCCCCAGCTGTCTCGGAGCTCCCGGCGCGGCTGCGTCCGCGGGACCAATCAAAGGCACCGACTTCCAGCAACCACCGAGGCGGCGCGGCCGGAAGGGACCGAGGCAGCGCCCTTCTAGCCCGCCCCCGCCTGCCTCTATGGTTCCGCTCCGCGCGCCCCGCCCCCAGTGGCTGGGCCTCGCCTGTGCGGAAGAGGGGGAGTTAGAAGTGCCAGTCAGAAGTCAGTTGGAAGGCGAGGGGCGTGCACGGTTTTGTAGACTAATACATAAGTAGGTGGGTGGCTAGAGGCTTTATAACGGTCTGCATCTCCCCTGCCTTTTGACTGACTGCAGATTTAACACGGCTAACTAGCGCGCTGTATCTGTCTTCTGTACGTGCCTATGTGGGTAGGGAGAGGGATCGACAGAGCACAGCCCTGCGCAGGCTGAAGCTTCACCAGATGCTGTGAAGGACACGCACACCCTTTCACACCATCTGATGTAGTGAACTTTGATTCACAAAAGTGTGTGTGTGTGTGTGTGTGCAGTCCACAAAAGTGTGTGTGTGTGTGTGTGCGCGTGTGCACGTGTGCTTTAGTCTATAAACCTACATTTCTAGCCTGCCTTCTGGAGCACTTTGAGAGCCACAGAGGAAACACACGTAGCCATGCTTTTCCTCCTCTCTGGTTGTCTGAGATGCATGTTACTTGAGGTTGTTTCTTTCGTTCAGCATACATTTGCTCTGGGTTAATTACATGAAGGGTGGTGGTAGGTAGCGCATCCCTGTTTCTGATTTATGATTCTTGTATTGTGATATGATGATGGACTGATTCTTGTTAGCAATCACAAACCCTCAAATGCCACTGTTCAGCTATCTTGAGGCAACATCACCAACAATCACTAATTTATGTGTTTTGTTTCTTTTAATCCTCTTAAGTTTGGCTGAAGGACTTCTGCAACTGAATAAATGGTTAATGTAATGACATCAGTTATCGTTAGCGTTTATACGAAGATATTTACACAGGTGTACTTGGGAACAGCATGGCCTCTTAATACCTATTACACACTGAAGTTTTATCTGATATTTATGGAACTGTCTCCTGAATAAACATTTCGGTCATTAATAACTACCTTTTCCAGAAGTTTCTTTAAACTTGCATACACTGATCACCTAGGCAATGGATTTCTCTCCTTAAATACTAGCTTGCTAGTAAAGAGAGATCCCCATGTCTCCTAGCATAGTGCCCCAGTTTTGAAATGTGTTCCATGCAGACAGAGTCTGTGGAGCTTGCTGTAGGATCATGAAAGCCAATCTAGCCGCCTTCTATCACTTGGCATTTCTGCATTTGCTTGCCTAAATGCTAGAGGAGAGTGCTTGCCCAAGCACATGTTGTTTCTTTTTTGCCCCTCACTGATGCAACTTCTTTCCTTGCTTCAGAGATGCACAACACTTTCCTCTTGTATTTACCTGGGCCTAAGCCACTATTCAAACAGTGCTTTGCCCCTAAGCCTACTCTACTTCCTTTATGCCATGTACCAGCTCATAATACTCTCTCACCCTTCCCAAGGCCTGTGGACTTTCTCAATTGCAAGCACATTCTTTGCCTATCTTCTTCCTGATGTCCTTGCCCTCTCCTTCACACCAAGCCTGCCTCACTGTTTTCTGTCATCAACCCGAGCCCTTTCTCCAGCCTCCAGGTACTTTTCCTTGTCCCTCACCTATGTCCATGCCATATGTCCCTGCATCTGCCTTCCTACAGGCCCAAGTTATTTACCTCTGTCAGCCACACTGCTCCTTCCCTCCTCACCCACATCCATAGGCAACGCATAGAGAGAGCACGGGGGGGCATGTGCCTCCCCCGCAGAGACTGGCCACTGCTAGCTTCTACGGGCTGTCACCACTCATACAACCCTCCCCACCCGGCCACTGATACCACCACCAGCATCTGCAGGTGGTCCCCACTCGCTGCTGCTGGCACCATTGCCCCCCCACCCCACTGCTGACACCACTGCCAGTGTCTGCAGCCAGTCCCCACTTGCCCCTCACCAGTCTCAGGAGGCACCAGTCATTCATGCCCACATCACTTTTCTTCTATTTCCAAGGTCACACCCCTTTTTCCCATTTTCCTCATACAGGCCTGCTGCTTCTTTTTGTTCCCTGCAACTTCTCTCCATCCTCAAGCCCTGAGACATAAGCTGATTTTCACTGTCCCAAACTTCTGACACCCAATTCTCTACCACCCCACTTTTTGGGGTGAGTCTCTTTCCTCATAGCTGACAGCAGAAATATATATATCTTCTCTATTTAGGTGTTGGTATGGTCTTTGCCACTTGTTTCTCAGTTCCTTCTCTCAACCCTCCTCAATGCAGTGGGCTTGGATCAATTTGCACCTGTCCAATAAGAAAAAAGGGGCAGGTTGCAGTCAAGCAGAGGACTATTAGAACAGTTGCCGTTCATGTGCAGTAGCATTAAAGGACAGGCAGTTGAAGGCTACTTCCTACATTGTCTCCAGAAGCTGCTGCTTCTACAACAATGGCATTTGAAGGCAAGAGGGGTTTCCCCCTCTCACTGAGTGCTGCCAGCTGCTTCTATGCTTGGTTTTGCTGTGTTTTCATCTGTTGTCAGCTGCTCCTGACTAGTGGAGATGCCAAACCTCCATGTGGCAAGGTGAGGCTATGAAAGCAGAGGAAGTCATTATGTGCTTGTTTCTGTCTGATGCAAATAACTTATGGTAGAGACAAATATGTATTTATGGGTCTGCTTGGAACAGTTGTGTAAGTGTATGTCTGGGTCCAAAAGATATTGTTATGATGCGTTCTATTCTATGATACTGCTGAATCCCTTATAGTATTATGCAGGACCATGAAAAGAAGGGAATATTTGTTCTATGAAGATTTGGGTTTGACTTCTATATGATTCTTTTGCACCTTACCTACATGAGGCTGCTTCTGCCACAATAGTGAAGCTGACAGTGTCCATATACATCCATGTGCCTCCTCGTGGCTCCATACTTCTCCTGTTCCATCTATGTAGCTCTGCTACAGTGGCTCTGCTGACAACTGACCTTGGAGAAACATGGGCTGCTGGAGGGACTGTGGCAGATGTACTTAAAGACACTTGAAAGCTGCTCAGTGGTAACAGCAGCCTTCTTTCACCCAGAGAAGTAACGTTATTCTGCTGGCAGGAAGAAAGGCTTATGTTGCCACAGGAGAACCCTGAGTGTGGCTACATTCACAGTTTCGTTGGAAAAACACTGGCACAAAATATGTAATACAGTATAATCTCATAAATCCAGATCTCAAAAACCTGGAATTCTCAAAAATCCAGCATTGCTCCAGGACTGGCTGCTGTTCTCCCCCCACCCCTCCCCTGAGTGGAAGCTTGGGGGAAGGGGGAAGCTTGCACGCGGCAGCTGCTGCCGCCATCCACCACCCCACACTGTTGTTCCATGTGCGGCCGCTGCTCTGGGACTGGCAGCTGCTTCTCTCCCTACCACCCTGCTCCACAACTGGCTACACGGGCTTAAAAAATCAGGCATTTTCAAATATCCGGCAGGTGCTCAGTCTCAAGCACGCCAGATTTATGAGGTTATATTGTATTGTCCAAGCCTTAGTGTTCAACATCTCCCAGGTATTACAGCAATGGGCCTGACATTTTAAAACAAGAGAAAGCTCTCCACAGAAGAGACAGCTTAATGTCCTACGTATCAGACTTAGAGTACCTGCGGTCCTTGGAACCACTACTGAAAATCTCCGAAGTGTCAAGTTAGCTGTTCAGGGTCCCAAAGCTGGCAAAATACTTGAATACCGCTCACCAAAAAAGGAACTTTTGGATGGGAAGTGATAAAAGCAATTTCTGCTCTGCATTTCCTTATTTTCTGAAGATCTCATTTAAAACAAAAACCAAACACTATATTTCCTCAGTGATTGTCCAGCATACTTATTTACAGTAATGTACCACAGGAGATAGGGCTACTGTTATAGAATAGTGTTGCATGGAGTCTTGTATTTGTAAATATTGACTATAAGCAATCAGCTTGATACTTGCTGCATCTACACGAGATGCTTACTGTGCAGTACCTCATTACTACTGCACAGTACCTCGTTACTACTGCGCAGTAGTGTCATGGGGCACAAACCATGGTGTGACACTACTGTGCAGTAGTAATAAGCTACAGCGCAGTCAGCATCACCAGGAAGCCATGAAGGGCTGCTGCTGCTCAATAATGCTCGTTACTGTGCAGTCATTTAGTACTTGCAAGTACTAAATGACTGCGCAGTAACAACTGTGCCATCAGCATCTGGTGTAGATGTGGCTACTGAGTATTTTGACCATGAACAAAATAGTGCACGGATTGATAATATAAAACAGAAGACTATATTTTAGCTTTTTAAACTAATTGGTATTGGAAATGCAAAATGAAAATCTATTTCCAAGCTACATTATCTTTTGGCATTTACACAATGGGTTGGATGTTTACTTAACTACCCGACAATGTAGGCAGTTCTTTTTGCATCCTGGTTCTACATCCTCCTCTCATGCACCTACACTGTCACATCATTTATTATGCTGAAAGCCTGTGTTGACTCCTTTTGTACTATTCTTTCAGAGCCAAATTGTGGTCATATTGAAATTCATGAAAGTATTTCCCATTGACTTTAGTGGAATCTGGTTTTAACTCCAACCAGAAAGGGTGATGCATTTTGTCTTCTTGTGGTGGAAGTGTATGGTAATAAATGTGTGATTCATTGTTATGTAAAGCTTGAACTGCATTGGATCAGGGGGTCAAACCATGGGCTGGATGAGTGGTGCTGGACTGGTCCTTGAGCTGCACAAGCCAGCCCCTCAGGCAGTGTTTGCCCTGAACTGGCCTGGAGCACAGCCAGCAGTGTGTGCCCCCAGCTGACCCAAAGTGCAGCTGGCAGTATGCTCCTGGGACTAAGCCAGAGCACAGTAGCCGCATGTTTCCTGGACTGGCCCAGAGTGCAGCTGGCATTGTGTGCCCCAGAGCGCTCCCAAGCACTGCTCCCAAAGTGCACTAGGCTGGTCTTGCACTTCCTGTGCAGCATGTGGGGCCAGTCTGGTACATAACACAGTGGCATGTGGATCCAAACCAAAACCCCAGCTAGCACTGGGGGCCAGATAATAGGGCTCCACAGACCATATTCAACCTGTAAACTGTATCTTTGACACCCCTGAATTGGACAAACAGGAAGAATATGAATAAGGTGAGACCAAAGTCCCAGCACCGCGGAGGAATTACCATGGAACTGGAAACTAGTCGAGCAGGTACATTTCTCATTGTATGTCATGAGAGACTATCTAGATAGCTTTATTCCTGCTGACGTGATTACCAGCTAATTATTAGAGACTCCTCTCTTCTAACACGTGGGGATAGCATTTGAAAACATTGTGATAGAAAAATTGTCCCTGGGAAGAGGCTGAAGTCATTCATTTCTTTCTAATTGCATCACACTTTGCCATTTGATCCTTTCTTCCTCCATCTTAAGCATTTGATCAGCTGTAAGAAAATATGTCATATAGCATCATAGTAACATACATTGAATGTGTCTACATGAGACGCTAAATGTGAATTGGACTAATTCTACTGTGCATTAGCAGATCAAGCAAAAAGCATGCTAATGTGCAGTAGATTCAGTCTACACGTGTATATAATGAATTCCATTTTGATTTGTAGATAGTGATTTCAAAAGTTATTGTTATGGCAGGATCATGTCCTTGCTAGATACATGGTTAGCTGCTTTGTATGAGAAGGTTTAAGCTTGTTGTAGAAATATGGTTTGCAGCAGTTTGCATTTATTTAACGGTTCGTACTATATGATTTCTGAGTATTTTTGAGTACTAATCTTCCCTTACTCCTACCTTCCTTTAAGTGTTTATTTCTGTACAGTTTACTGTAAGGAGATTTTAATATGCCTTGATACCCATACAAAAGGAGTAACCTCACAATAAAGATTATGCGGTTTTGTCTACCCATTTGCTTGCCTTTCTCCATAAGAATAATCCTTGGTTTTAGGAAGCTCAGTGGAATTACTAATTCTACAATTTTTTCCTCTGCTTAATTATAAGCTTCTCTTTATTTCTTCACACATAGCCTATGCTTAAATTCCCAGAGACTTAATGACATAGAAAGTTTTCAGTGGTGATAACAAGCCTCTTTGAAGCTAGCAGACCTTCTAATCTGGGTAATTAGTCATTTTTTGTAACTTCAGAACAGTGTGATTGATTGTATTCAAACCTTGCAGAGGAGTTCATCTTAATCCTTGAGATTAAATTTGGCCAATTTTCAGGCCAACACAAGGAGAAGTTCAATTGAGGGGGCTTATGGGATTTGGTTGCAAATTAAAGATGGATGAAAATGCAGTTTCCTTTTTACAGCGTTTTCAGTGGCACATAGAAAATTAATCCATGTCCCATTAGTAGATATGATTATTATAGAAACAACATTCAGATTAAGAACTAATTTATTCATTTCATATTGTAGGCAGGCAGAAGTGAGGTGAAGGACTGTTGCTGTATCAGTACCTGTATGTATATTTCTCCTTGTGTATACTGTACTTTCAGTTGTAGTGATATATTAACTCTTGTTTCAGTAAGGAAGCAAAGTCTATGGATGTCTATTACAGTTTGTTGAAATGTGGTTCTGATCTTTTGTGTCACTGGTTTTTTTAAAAAGCCTAGTGGTAAATCTATTCCAGTAGTTCAACTGTGGCTCTTCATGCTACTGTTTGTAGGATGTCTAAAACAAGAGGTAGCAAAAACCTTCAAGTTTTGAGTTTGATTTGCACATTGTGATCAATGCGTAACCTACGTTGAGCAAAAGATAAATATTCTTTCTTTCAAAGGTTGTTTCCAGTCTGTTTTCTCGATAAAAATAATTAAAAATGCTACTTGGAAGAATGTTGGCCCAGGTTTTCTAAAATGACTAGTGATTTCAGGTAGCCAACATGAAGCATTTTAAAGGGCTTGAGTTTTAGAAAAGCCTGAGTGAATACCCACTTTGATAAAACCAAGCTCATCCTAGGCATTTCAGGTAGGGTACAAAAAATAATGACACACTCAAACTCACAGGTTGCTTTTGAAAATCTTGACCATCAATCTTATCTTCATTATAAATTATTTTTATAATTATAAATTATAAATCTTTTCTTCGTTATAAATTATTATTTAACATAGCCAAATGTAGGCACATTTTTTAATGATTGAAATTCAGTACAAATCTTCAGTTTTACCCAATATCATATTTTAGGTAAGAAAACATGCAAGCCAGTTTCTGCAGTCATACAGTATACATACAAGAACTGTATGGCTTCAATGAATATGTCCAAATGCAATGACAACTGCATGAAAAAAAAGAAGTAAGTTATTAGAATGAATTTATTTGGGGGGTCTTAGATTTATATCTGATTTATATTCAAAAGGCTCTACAACTGGGTTTTTATTGGAGATGTCAGTTTACAAGTTTGTATGAGAACATACAAATGACTTGATTTTTTATGGTACTGTAAGAGACTAGCCCAGGGTTGGGCAATTATTTTGGGCAGAGGGCCGCTTACTGAGTTTCAGCAAGCCATCAATGGCAGCATGACAGGCAGCCCAGGGCAGATTAATATTAATTTTCTAACATTTTTAGGGGCTCCGTGGGCCTGATAGAATGGCCTGGTGAGCCGCATCCGGCCCTCAGGCTGCATTTTGCCCACCCCTGGACTAGCCATATACCTCACATCCCACTTCTATAAGCTTCCATTGTAAATCACTGTTATTGTGGCAAGAGAAAGCTCATTTCAGTCTACCCCCAGTCTTGGAGAAGTCAGTCTATGAGCCTACTATGGGGTTTAAATGGAACCAGTAGTGAAAAGGGGTGAAATCTGGGAGCAGTTGTTTTCTTTGGTATGCTCCTGCAGGCAATTTTGCCTTCCCATTAGAAATCCCTTTGGGAGGTACTGATGCTCGGTCTGCTACCTCATGATAGTAAACAGAGGTGACCCATGACAAAAGGGCTTCAGGGAACAGCAATAAAGCTATATCTTTTCCCTGAACCTTGACTGGTGTCCCAAAATTTATGTGGTTTTTGAGATGTGCTGGATTACAAAAAGGAAAATCGCTATGGGTGGGAAATGGCTTGCAAAGAAATGACAAGGAGAAGGAAATTCCCTTGAGTTGGAATTCTGAGTGGCATTCCCTTCACAAGATGGCTTTCATAGGGGAGCACATAGCTGTGAGGCAGAAAGTTTGTTCCTTACTAGTTCCATTAGCTTTATTATTCATTCATTATTATCCCAATTGTTTAACTCCAGACTACACAAAATACAGGCCAGTTACCTTCTTGTGTTAATTTATATTCAAAGATGGATTTTTTCTATTATAATTTCTTAATTTTTCAAATTGTCTTTACTGGTATGTCTCTCTCACATTAATGCATATGCATCAGTTTTATGACAATAAACAGGTAATTTAGGTAAGAACAATTAAACGTGAAATGGATTAATGTACCAAGATTAGAGGAGTCTTACAAATAATAATAAGGGATTTTACTGAATAAAGTAAAAAATTCTGGGCAAACAGCTACCAGCTGAATAGCAAAGACCCTTCCTATTGCAAAATATTCTTTTTTATCTGCTTGGAGATGTAAGAAACTTAGGACATTATGAAAAATAAAAAAACCTCACATTAAATGTTGGCACCTTAAAAGCTGGATTTAGTGTTTCAAAACAATATGTTTACCTCTATCTCATTCTTTTCCCTTTCCTAGCATCGATTACAAAGAACACCAGTGTTGTTGCTGCCAGGAAGAAAAAATTGAGACTCGCTCTGGGACTCTCATTTGCAATGAGAAAACCATAGATTTCAAATACAAAAATGTCTTGTCTTGCACATGCAAAAATTGCAATGAACTATAAGATACTATGATTACTGGAAAAAATCAAGCTTCCTCTTTACTTATATTTAGAAAGGATCTAGATCACATCTGTAAAGATTATTTAAATAATGATTAACTAAACAAACATGACTGCAGGCACAGGCGACTGGTGCCACCTTAGTCGGGGAGGGGCATGTGCCCCCCCAGCAACCAGTCAGCGACTGGGGGGTCCCCCCACAGCCAATCTCACTGACCAAAGAGGGGGGATGTCCCCCATGGCCGATCACTGCAGCTGATCGCTGTGGCCACTTCTGGGAGTGGCTGCGTGGCCACTTCTGGGAGCGCAGCGCTCTGCTCCCCAGCCAGCACTTGCAGGGGGGCACCGGCACTCCTGCCGGCTGCCCCCCCCCCCCCTTATTGCCTAAGCGGCAAGCACAGCCAACCAGGGGGTGCACCGGCGCTCTCAGTGCACCCCTGTGCACCCCCTATGTGTTGCCACTGGCTGCAGGGCCCAGTTTGTTCCAATATACACAGGATGTACACAGTATGCACCTAGGAATATCCTACAGGCACAATATACAAAGTAGTTATAGTATACTGGGAGTGTCTACAAGAGATGTTTACTGTGGAATAGACTAGTTAGGTCTGCAATAAACATTGTATGTCTTTGTGACAGAACACCCTTTTATAAGAGCAGAGTAGTGTGAGATCAGCCAGGGTGGAGGAAACATTGCCCTGCGGAGCTTTGACTCCAGGAACAACTTGGAGGTATAGGTGAGGCTATGGGGAAGGAGGAGACCTCATTGGTCCTGGGCATAACCTAAAACTGCAGCCTGCCAGGATAGGGAGGCCTGGTGGTCCTGCCTGTGGCAGGGCAGGGCCACATAAATATCAGGACTGAGAACCTCCCTGGTGTCAGGTCAGTTGGTTGGGTTACCAGGAGAGTTACTGGGGGCAGGCAAGCTTATTTTGAAGTGCCTGAGTCCCATGGGGTGTTGGACCCTGGAGGTGGGCCAGGCACATCAAAGAGGAGCACCTGAGCCCAAGCGGGTGTAAGTCCCTGGGCCCTGAGAATTGCCAGGCAGAGTTGTGGGGCCAGTTAAGTTCAGGGAGGAGCAGCTGAGTCCTAAGGGGTGGAAGACCTCAGGCCCTAGTGTAATGGGCAGAGTTGAGGCCCGAGGGAGGGGTGTAGTGGTCCGGTGAAGGGCCAGGGGTGAAGTAGGCAATAGCTCAGTCTTGTTTGGGTGAGGGTCACAGGAGAGACCCAAAAGACCGCACCAGGGCTGACCAAGGGGTGGAGAGAAAAGCCTGAGGATCTCTTCGAGTAGGGTGGAGTGAGCGTAGCCTGGATAGGCAGTGTGCAAGAGGCCTTGTTGAGAGGGGGCTGGTGTGTGTGTGGCCTGAGAAGGCAGCGTGGGAGAGACACAACTGTGTGTCCAGTTTGACTCAGCTTAGAACCAGAGATGGAACATACTGTGAGACATCAGCGAAGCATGGGACACATGTAGAGATGGTAGGAGTGTGTACTTATCGCCCATGGTCATTTGGGCACATGAAGGGGAGCCTCCCGCCAATCTGACATCATAACCACTTATCAACAAGGCGGGTGGTTTGCCCAGAGACAAGGGCAGGGCCAGACTAGTACTGGGCCTGGAAGGTGCCCTTGTCACAGTTTACATGTTTTTTACTCTACAGCAGAGCGTGGGTCGATGCTGCCCCAGCTGGCTGGGACATGAGCATAGGCAACACGTAGGGGGGGCATGTGCCCCGCCCCTGAGATTGGCTGCCACCAGCTTCTGCAGGCAGTTGCCACTCGCAACCACCCCCCACTCGCCACCACCACCGCCAGCATCTGTGTGTGGTCCCCACTTGTTACCACCGACACCAACTTCTGCGGGTCGTCCCCGCTCACTGCCATGGTGCCCCCCAGTCTCAGGAGGCACCAGTTGTTCATAGGCATGAGGTTGCTTCAGTGTGAGGCTTCCTGCTGGCTAGCCCTGCATTGAAGCACTCCTGTGACAGCCAGTCCCTCCTCAGCACATTGAGCTGGGGGGAGTAGCCCCAGGCTGGCAGGCTGACCCCCTTGCCCCCTGCCAGCCAGGGCCTCTTTGACCTGGTTCAACGTTCTGCAGTCCTGGGCACACGTGTAAAGGTGGCACCCAGGAGCAATAGACTCCAGTACGATAAGTGCCAGAGGTTATTGCATCACATTAATGTGCACATGTAGACGAGCCCACTGTGTAACGGACTCTACTCCTCTTCCTGTCTTCACCTGCATACATTGGTACACAACATGCTGCCAGCATGCCCCAGGACATTCTGATCAATAGATACTACATATGAGCCAAGAGCTTATAAGAGCTACTATATATTGGTTACAAAGAACTGTTTGGCTCTACAAGGCTGCAGTTAAGTGCCACATGCTAGTCAGTTGTTCAGTCTTTTTGTATCCCTTGTTTCTGTGTGTAGCAGTGTTTGCAGCTTGTATCCTGTGCTTGCTCAGGTCCTCCATGTCGTAAGAGTATGTTGTCAAAGTGCACATCTTATGTACTGTGCTCTACACCACCACTGGTAGATGATACAGGGGACATTACCCATTATCCCACATTCACATATGTACAAAAGTTTGACCGGGGAAAGGAAAAGCATGTGTAGGTGCAAGGGAAATTAACCAGTCCTGTCACCTGCTTCTGTCACATAGGCAACCCAAAACCTTCCCACAGGGTGTGTCTACATGTGCAATTAATGCTATTTGGCTTTACTGAGTAGTGCATTTACTACTTGCAAATGCAGGTAAAATTACTGTGCATTAAGCACCTGTATGTGTAGACAGTAATGCTTTACTGCACAGTAGATTAGATTATGTGTAACACATGCTCTGCAAGCATCGTGTGGCCACTGCTAGTTAATGCATGGAACTTCAATTGAGTGACTCAGTCTTACTTGGCCAAGTAAGAGGAGTTGGACTGGACTCTGAAGGGTCTGTTATTTTTTCAAACCCATTACAGATGGTTGAAGCACACCCCTTTCTGCTCTTCCTGATCATACTGAACCGGGCCCTAAGACATGATTGTCTGTTAAAACAATGGTTGACAGTTAATGCCAGGGAGGATATGGCAGGGGATGGATCACTCTAGATATGCCCTATTTGATGCTCTAAAGCATCTATGGCTTACTGGAGGCAGGATACTGGGCTAGACGGATCATTGGTCTGACCCAATATGACATTTTTATGTTAACAAATAAATTGCATACTTCTCTGTTTGTCATTAGCTCTTCACTAATCAAATCCATCAAATAAATATATATTTGCATTTAACGCGCATGACTAAAGTACATTGAGGGATAGAATTTTGCTGTGTTATTGTTCTTTATGACAGCTACTAAAAATGTGCTAGGTGCATCTCATAAAACAAATAAACGTGGTCTCTCTTTCAGAGCTTACAAGTAAAATAGTATGTGACAGAATGAGTGAGCATTATGAGCAGAAAGGAGGGGATAGGAAATACAACAATATGATTTTGTTTACTCACTGTAGGCACATGCAGATCAGAATGGTGTATTTAAACTTTTTGTTATTTCAATATACATATAAAACTTGAGCTGATTAGGAAATATTTTCTTTCCCACAAAAACAGTTAGAAAGAAAATTTCTGTTTTTTCCTTTTTTTCTTGTTTGTTTTTTTCATGTTTTCATCAAAAAGCTAACCATTGCCCAAATTTTCCAGGTTGATTTTACATTAAAACACCCTTAAAATTAACATTTAATTTAAATTTTTAAAATCTCATAATTTTTGGCCTAAACTTTTAATTTAGTTCTAATAAAAATACATTGTCGTTTTTGATGTTGGGCCAGATTTCCAAGCACTCAGTACTTTGTGCCAGTCCCTCAAAAGTTTTCAGAACCCAAGAGCTTCTTTTGTGTTGTGCCAGCTCTTTAGACAATGTGGCCACTTATTATTTTGGTGCTTCAAGCTGGATAGGGTCTCTGTTTTGTTAGATGGGTAGAAGTTTTGTCTGGGTTAGATCTATAGTTCTTGACCCAGGTATTCTGCACCCTAAAGTACTGATAATGAGCATCTTCACTGGCTTAATGAGGGGTCAGAGCTTTCAACACCAGCGTCTAATCTTTAGTTCTTAAAGTGCTCAGAACTCTACAGAATGAAGGGTGCAACACAAATATATAATGTAGAATCTAAATAAAATCCAAATACCTATTCCTCGGATCTATCCTTTTTGTCACCGCTCTGACCGAGTTAGTCTTTCTGAGGGAAACTTCTGTAAGGTGTGCTAGCATCATTGTACTTTACTTATTAGTGGGCATATCTACATGTGCATAGTACTGTGATGCAATAAACTTTGGGGCTTATAGCACCGGACTGAATTGCTCTTGGGTGCCATGTTTACGTGTGCATCCGGGACTTTGAGCTGGGTTGGAACAGCAATGATGTGCTCCTGGATGCCACCACTGGGGCCATTCACACATTCCTGAGCCTCCACCCCTGCCGCCTGTGGACCAGCCCAGCCAGGCAAAATTTGTGGCTGCATAACAAGCAGTGGCTCAAGTCATTCCAGATGACCCAGGCTACCTTCCAGGACCTCCTCATGCAGCTCCACCCACACCTGGAGCAACAGGATACCACCATGTGGTGGCCCCTCCCCACAGACACCCAGCTGGCCATTGCCCTGCTCAAGCTGGCCACGCCTGCCAGCCTCCACTGCATCAGCCAACTCTTTGGTGTGGGCAAGGCAACCACTGGGGTGTCTGTGTTGGAAGTGTGTGGTGACCTCCAGATCATGCTGGGCACATCGTGTTCCACGTGAATGACCCCCTGGTGGTGATGTTGGCGGGGTCCGTACCCTGGGCTTCCCTCAGTGCATCAGGGCCCTGGATGGGACCCATATCCCCATTATCTGCCTGTCCCACAGAAACCACCTCTACTACAACCCTACTACACTCCATTATGTTCCAGGCCACTGCAGACCACCACAACACCCTCACCAATGTAAACGCTGGCTGGGCGGGCAGTACCCACAATGCCCACATCTT